CCCCCCCCCCCGCCCCATACCAGCTTGCTCCATTCTGCCCCTCTTATTCCCCCATTCTATCCCCCCAGTTCTCACTTCCTATCCACTTCAGGGCCACCCCTCAGCCATACCTCTCCCCTCTCCTCTGACCCCCACTGCCTCCCCTGGATTCCAGTTTGTCCCATGCTGCCCCTCAGCCTCTACTATGCCCTGTCCAGTTCCCCTCACTCTGTCCTGGACCCAGCAAGTCCCAGGACCTCTCCCCAGCCCCCTACCCTGAACTCAGCCACTCTGTCCGTCCGTCCATCCCCCCCCCACCCCCAATGACCCCCATCAGGCTCAGCCGGCTCCATGCCCCCTCTCTGCCTCCAGCCTGGATACCTGGGTTCCCTTATCACATCTCCCTTTATTTTTTCTCTAGTGGGGGGTGCTGTGGGGCTTGGAGAGTGGGGCTGAGCTGGGAGCTCAGACAGGCTTTTGGGATCCCTCCTGTCCCAGCCAGCCAGCCCTGTTGCCCCTGCCCCAACTGACACTCCCCTCATATATCTGCCCCAGGGGGCACTGGCTGAGAGGCAGCACATGGCTATGGACCTGCCCAAGCTGTCTGCTGAAGACCGGCTGGTAAGAGCTCCTGGATGCCTGGAGGGTGGGGGGACTGGGTGGTCCAAGCACCCTGGTGCTGGGAGTCCAGACACCTGTGTTCTCTGAGAGGAGAGTGAGGGCTGGGGGGTGAAAGCAGTGGAGCTGGGAGCCTGGACATCTGGGTTACCTGGGAGGGGAGTGGGCTCCTGGTGGCCTGGGGGAGGGTGCCTGCTCCTGGACTCTTGGGTCTCTCCTGCAGAGCCCACCCCGGGGGCTGGTGGCCGCATACAGTGGGGAGAGCGACAGTGAGGAGGAGCCAGAGCGGGCAGTGGAGCGCGAGGAGAAGCTGACAGACTGGCATAAACTGGCCTGCCTGCTCTGCCGCCGCCAGTTCCCCAGCAAGGAGGCACTCATCCGGCACCAGCAGCTCTCAGGCCTGCACAAGGTGGGCATTCCATTCCATTCCATCCTATTTACCTGGGATCTCACCATCCCAACCCCAGAGCCAGCTGCATCTTGGCCCTGGGCAAGACCTCCTTATGGGCTGTTAAGCTGTGCTCCCTCCTGCCTTCCCAACTGGCTGCATCTCTGTCCTCTCTGTGGTGTTGTATACAGTCATGCCCATCTCTTCCTCCACAAAGCTGGCTGCATTTTGGCCCCAGGAACGGCCTCCTTGTGGGCTGTTATACTTAGCTGTTCCCCACCAGAATCAGTTGCATCTTGGTCCTCCTTGGGCAGCATTAGACTCAGATGGTTCCAAGTTGTCCCATCCCAGAGCTGGCCACATTTCAGCCCTAGGCAAGACCTCTTTGTTTGCTGTTATACTTGGCTGCTCTCCCCAAAGCTGGCCACATCTCGACCCTCCCGAGGTAGCATTCGGCTCAGCCATTCCCATCTGCTCCACCCCAGAGCTGGTTGCATCTCCCCTTTCTCCTGTGCCTTTATAATTGCCCCACCCCAGAACCAGCTGCATCTTTGGCCTGGGCAAGACCTCCTTATATATAACCATAGTCAAGCACCTCTTATTGTTGTGCTCTGGAAGTGGCTTAATCTCTGCCAAAAGAGCCATCCTCCTGTGGTGTTATATGCTCCACTCTAGAGCTGACTGCATCTTGGCCCTTTCCATGTATTCCACTGCAGAGCTTGCTGCATTGTGGCTTTCATGTGCCATTATACTTCACCTTCCCCAGCTGCCGCACTCCACAGCTGGCTACATCTTGGTCCCAGGCAAGACCTCCTTATGGGCTGTTATACTCAGCTGTTCTGCCCTCACTACATGGAGGCCAGAAGAGCCTTCACTATGTGGAGTTATGTTCAGCCTTTCCCATCTGGTCCACCTCTGAGATGGTTGCATCTCCCTTCCCCCTGGGCTGATTATACTCAGTTGTTTCCTAGCTGCCTTGTCCTGGAGTTGGCTGCATCTTGGCCCTCCTTGGATGGTGTTAAACTTGGGAGTTTTCCAGTGGTTCCACTCCAGAGCTGGACACATCTTGGCCTTCCCTCTGTGGCAGTATATACAGCCATCCCCAGCCCTTCCACCCCAGATCTGGCTGCATCTTGGCCTCCCCATCTTCCATTATACTTGGCCATTTCCCAGGTGGCCTGTGCCCAGAGCTGGCCTCATGTTTGCCCTGGGCAAGATCTCCTCATGGGCTGTTATATCCAGCTATTTTTCTTCCTACCCACAAGAACGGCTGCATCTTCGCTGTCCTTTTGCAGTGTTAAATGTGGCCGTTTGCATCAGCTGTGTCCCAGAGCTGGTTGCATGTCTGCCCTCTGCCCCTCAACTATTATATTCAGCCATTTTCCAGCTGCTCCATCCCAGAGCTGGCTACACCCCCACCCTCTTGCCATTATATTCAGCCACTCCTCCCCTGAGCTGGCCACATCTTTGCCTTCCCTGCTGCCTCACTCTGTCCCTTCTCTCTCTCAGCAAAATTTGGAGATCCATCGCCGGGCCCATCTGTCTGAGTCAGAGCTGGAGGCACTGGAGAAGACAGACATGGAGGTGGGTGAGGGCATAGGGCACTTGGGGCTGTGGGCAGAGCCAGGAGCTGGGGCTCAGCCCCTGCCCCTTCTCCCTCTACAGCAGATGAAGTACCGTGACCGGGCAGCTGAGCGGAGGGAGAAGTATGGGGTCCCTGAGCCCCCGGAGCCCAAGAAGAGGAAGTATGGGGGCATTGCCCCGGCCACTGTGTGAGTGTCCCCTACCACCAGCTCCCAGTGTTCCATGTGGCCAGCCCAGCTGTCCTGCCCCAGAGCTGAGCACATCTCGGTCTTCCTGTGCTCTGGTATACATGGCTGTTCTCCAGCTGTTGCAGTTCAGTGCTGGCTGCATCTTAGCTTTCCCTGTGCAGTGTTATACTCGACTGTTCCCCAACTGCCCTAACTGAGGGTTAGCTGTATCTTAGCTTTCCCTGTACCCTACTGTACTCTGCTGCCCACCCAGAGTTAGCTGCATCTAGTCTTTCCATGTATGATATCAGCTGTTCCTTAGCTGCCCCTCCCTAGAGCTGGCTGCATATGATCCTCGTCTGTACAGTTATATAATCAGTTGTTTCCCCAGCTACCCTGCTCCAGAACTGGCTGCACCTGGCCATTCCTGGGTAGGTCTACACATGCTATTAATTTGAAGTAGGCTTACTACAGGTGCTCCCTCTTGAGAGCAGATTTGCTCTGTGGGAGTAGCCTGGTACAGGGCTGCTTCCGCCCTGCTCTGCCCATCCCCACAGCAGCCAGGGGGAGCTGCAGGCTCCCCTGGGTGCTGTCCCATGGGCTGTCAAGGAGCATGGGTGGGTCCCTATGTACAGAGGGCCAGGAGAGCTCTGCCACCTGCAGCAGCAGCAGCTGTGGTTCCTGGCTCTGTGTGCATTGGAAGGGATCCTGATGTGCATTGGGGCTTGGAGCTCTCCCACCCTGTGCATATGGGGGGACAAGCTCTGTGCCCAGCAGGGCTTTCTCCTGCAACCTGGGGCTGGCTGGGAACTGTGCTGTTCTTGGGCAGGTCCCAGCTAGCTCCAGGCTGCATGAGGAGTTCCCTGCCCAGCCTGGAGCTGGCCGGGAACTGTCCTGTTTCTGGGCTGGGCAGGGAACTCCTTGTGCAGCCTGAAGCTGGTTGGGACCTGCCCCAGAAGCAGGACAATTCCTGGACAGCTCCACGTTGGGTGGGGAAGCACAGAGCTCCTAAGTTTTGTCCCTGGGAGCCAGGAGCTGAGCAGCAGTAGGACGGGGGGGAGCAGCAGAGAGCTACTTGATTTTAGTGCTGCTCAGCTCCCAGCTGCCGTGGGGAGCTAGGAGCTGAGTAGTGCCAGGACCTGGGGAGTTCCCCATCTCTTGTCCCCCTAGTGTAGGGGCTAACCAGGAACAAATTTGCTCCTAGCTAGTGTCTACACATATGCTTTTGCACAGTATCTACTGCACAGTTATTTTACTATTATTTATGAGTAGTAACTAACTGCACAGTAGACTAATTTATTGTGCAGTAAATATGAGCATATGTAGGTGGTGACGCTTCGCTGTGCAGTAGATTAGTCAACTGCACAGTAAAGTCTCTCATGTAGATGCTCCCCCTGTGTCTAGTTATACTTGGTGGTTGCCCGGCTGTTCTATCCTGGAGCTGGTTGTCTCTCAGCCTCTACCTGTGCACTGGTATACTCCGTTATTCTCACAGATGCATCACCCCAGAGCTAGCTGCATCTGATCCTTCCCTGGACAGTGTTATACTCAGCTGTTCCCTAGGTGCCCTGCCCCAGAGCTGGCTGCATTTTGGCCTTCCCTGTACCCTGTTATACTTGCATATTGCCCAGCTGTTCCACCCAGATCTGACTGTATCTAGGCCTTTACCTGTGCCCTCTTATACTCGGCCATTCCCAGCTGCTCCATCTCAGAGCTGGCCATATGTGATCCTTCGCTGGATATACTCAGCTGTTCCCTAGGTGCCCACCCCAGAACTGGCTGCAGCTCTGCCTTTGCTTTGCTCTGTTATACACAGCCACTTCACCACAGAGCTGGCTGCATCCAATCTTTCCCTGTACAACATTATATTCAGCTGTTCCCCAGCTGCTTTACCCCAGAGCTGGCCACATCTTGGGGGTGAAAGGAGCCTCCTTTTAACACTTTGCTCCCTACAGGGATTTTGAGCAGCCGACACGGGATGGCCTGGGTAGTGACAACATTGGCAGCCGCATGCTGCAGGCCATGGGCTGGCGTGAGGGCAGCGGCCTGGGCCGCAAGAAACAGGGCATCATTGCCCCCATTGAGGTGTGCTGATGTCCCCCTGTGGGCTGGAAGGGTTGGGCTGCTGCATGGGGTCTGGGGATCTGCTCCAAGTGGGTGGGATTGGTACTGGAGGAAGTACTGATACTGGGCAGGTGGGAGATACCTCGGGGGGGGACCCAGGCATTTGGGAAAATGGGAGGCAAATGGGAATGGGGCGGGGGGGGTCAAGGTGGGTTGTGTGGGATCTTGGAGAGGTGGAGCAGGGTCTGGGCCAGCAAAGGGCGTTTTCTAGGGCTGTGCGGGCTGGGGTGGGGAATATATCAAGGAAATTGGGAGAAAGTCATGGGGGGATAGAGGGATCTAATTGGGAGAGGGACCCAGGAGTTCAGGGCAGTCCAGGCAGTTTGTAGAGGGGGGAAGGTCTAGGCAGATGAGGGTAGTTCAGGTGGGTGGGATGGGGGGGCAGTACTGGCCAGGTGCAGGTGGGAGGTGTCTCTGGGAACCCAGGCATTCAGGATGCCAGAGGCAGGTGGCAGTGGGGTAGGTGGTTAGGGGTGGGAGCAGCTGGGCAGGCCCAAGAGGGGGTGGGACCCAGGAGTCTGAAGGGGGGCCTGGGTGGGATTGGTGCTGTGGGGAGTGGGGTTCTGAACAGGCGGGAGATGCCTCAGAGGAACCCAGGCATCTGGGACTACAGAGACAGATGGAAATGTTCTGGGGGGAGGGGAGGGGGAGTTGGGGAGTTCCAAATGGGGAGGGACCCAGGAATCCAGGAGGGAGGTCTAGGTGGGGTGGGGAGGGGTCTTGGGAGGGATGTTGAAATGGGTGGGATTGGTACTGAGGGGAAGGGGGGCTCGGGGTACCCCAGGCATCCAGGACAACAGAGGCAGATGGGAGGCATTGCGGGTGGAGCAGGGCTATCAAGGCAGGTGGAAGAGGGTTCCTAGCAGGGGCAGTAGGTTGGGATAGGTCCAAGTAGGGGAGGGAACCAGGAGTCTGGGCTTGTTGGTGGGTTCCAGGTGGTTGTGAGGGACTCAGGAGTCTGGGCAGGGCTGTGTGGGTCCCTCCAGGCAATTGGGGGATATCCTGGGCCCTCCCTTACATCTCTTCCCCCCTCCCCACCTTAGGCACAGACACGGGTGCGGGGCTCAGGCCTGGGCGCCCGCGGCAGTTCATACGGGGCAACAGCAGCCGAGTCGTACCGCGAGTCCTTGCACAAGGCCATGCTGACCCGCTTCCATGAGGCCGAGTGACACCGTACCCCCCTTCCCCTGCTCCCTACAATGTTCTTTTTTATAATTAAAACAGGAAAAACGAGCTGCATGGTTGGCTGTGAGAGGTGCTGCTCTCCTCACCCCAGAGCTGGAGAGAACCTGCCTGTCCAAGCTCCCCATAACCCTCCCAGAGAACTCTAGCCCCCCCACCCCACAAAAAAAAAGCTACTCAGCTGAAACCCCTCCCTCACCCTAGCCACTTACCCCCACAACCACTTTTGAGCAAGCTCCTTGCCTGCTCCTAAGGGAAGCCAAGGTTTCTTCTCCCCTTTAATTCTTAAAGGTGTGGTTTTTCCCTTGCTGATTTCTGCCCTGCTCCTTTAAGGCTGGGGTTCCCTTAAAAGCCTCCTCTTAGAATGCCTTTAAGAGTAAAAAGGGATACTGGCTTGGTTCCCTGACTGCCTTTTAAGTTAAATGGTGGTAGTGGTGACTTTTGTTTTTGCCAGACTTTTTTTTTTTCTTTCAGAAGGCATTCCCCTCACCCTTCCCTTAAGCCAGCTATCCTTTTAAGCCTTATTCCCCATGGTTGCCACGGAGACCCACCCCCTGCCCCTCCCCAGGCCTAAGCTCTGTCTCCAAATCCCTTCCTCCCCCCATGTGCCCTCCCACCTTGGAACCTCCCCCTAGGACACAAACACCTGGGGGGGTGCAGTATTGGAGTGAGGGGACATAGGGGGCTGGGAGGGAATCAGTGGGGGGGCTGCAAGGGACATCCCCCCCCAAACCGATCACCCCCCCTCAACATCCATGCAGATCACCTTGTCCCCTCATACAACCGCTCCATGCATACACACATCAACACCCCCCTTACCACACAACTGCACTACACACCACGCACCCACATCCGCGCTTGTGTCAGACAGCTCCCCTGCCACACACACAACTGCACACACCTGTACAGCTTCCCACCCCCATAGATGCACACAGATTTCCCACTTGCAGATGCCAAGACCTCCCCAGCACATCTCCACCTTCCCTTCACTGGAAAAAGATTCCACCTACCCCACACACACATTCACAGACCTCTCCCTCTGACACACAAATCCCCAGACAGCCAGACCCTACCTACACAGCTCAACCGCGATGCCCCCAACCCTCAAGACACAAATCGCTACACACCTGGACAGACCCCACACACACCACCACCCTTCCCTATAGACTGACCCCCCCTGCAGGCAGGCCCCACTAGACACCCAGACTCCCTCCCCCAGAGAGACTTCAACTGTATCTTGATGCACAATTCCCTGCACACCATGAAACTTCCCATAGATGCCTTGAGGGGTAGCTCAACAGCCTGCCCTCCCGACACGGAGTCCCCTGCAGCTGGCTCCAGTGTGGAACCAAGATATGGGGGGGGGGTGTAGGGGTAGGGTAAGTCGTCTTCCATGGGGCAGAGAGCTGTGGGCCTTGAGCAGGTGCAGAACCCAGGAATCTGGGCAGCAGGGGAAGTGAAGGCTATGTAGAGGTGCCCTGGCTGCCTCCCAGTGCTGGTGGGGTTGGAAGCCAGGTGTATGTGAGGGGTGGGTGGGATGGGGATCAGCCTCTCTCCATGGGGAGGGGTGGCAGAGCCCCAGTTCTGACCCCTGCCCCACCCACATACAGGTGGAGCCTGACAAGGGATGGGGCCACGCAGACAGACCAGAAGCTTTTGGCTTCCCGTTTATTACAGCAAGCAATGGAAAAATACAAAAGCCATTAAAAAGGGGGGGGGGGGGGGGGGGGGGGGCGGGGGGGAGTCTAGGCTCCCGGCCCCAGCTCTCAGCCCTCAACCACCACCCCCTCTAGAGAACCCAGGAGTCCAGGCTCCGAGCTCTTTCGGAGCTGGAAGAGAAAGCAGGCATCCTGGAGTTAACAGGAGGATCTAAACTCCTCAAACTGGGCTCTTAAAGGGGGCACGTCCTTTCTATAGACGAATGCACTCTGGCCAGGTCCTCCAAAGACAATGACCGGGTTGGAGGTAAGCCTTCCAAGACAGGACCCCCCTCACTTCCTTCAGGTCGGGGGGGGGGGGGGGGGGGGGGTCACACAC